TTGGAGGCATGATAGATGGTTGAATTGAGTAGGGCGATGAAACGCGTAGATTTTTAATGAGGTGGCCGACTCGGTGGGGAAATACGTTAACTAGTTAACAAGTTGTCAGAGCCTAGGGTGGAGTGGCCATATGGCTCAACCAATGGAGTCGCAAAAGAGGTCTTAATTGCTGTATAGCCCCTATTCTGGCAATTTATGGGGGCTAGATGACTAATTACAAAACAATCGGCAATTTAGATAATCCACTCCGAGCTATGGATTCCGACACTAGTTAACGTTCCCGTCGCCCATCTTCGCCGTCCAGACGCGCAGTCTCAGTACCGCTTTTGGCGTTGGTCTCAGTGGAGTGATCTTCCAGAATTAATGGACCAAAGAGGTCAATCGCGCGATTTCCACCCAGGTCATCCCTTCCGCCTATCGGGTGGATAGCAATCTAGCCGAGGTTTCGTATGAGCTGATCAAGGGGTTTCCCGCCCAGGTGCAAGGGGAGTGAGTATCCACGGGTGTATGCCTGCAGTCTGGCGACGATGTGGTGGGTCATCATGGGGCTGAGTCTGGCTGGGTTGCTACTGAGTCTGCTGGCGAGGAATGATGTCGTGCAAGGGGGGCTGTCGGGAAACCAGAATTTTGCTGACGAGAAGCTGCAGAAGACGGATGAGGAGGCTTCATAATATCTTTCGGGCTGGACCTATGATTCACGTACCATGGGTTGTGCCCCATAACTAGTTGACTATCAGATATGAGAACACTTCAATAGACATTAAGGCAACCGACATCAAGCTTATAACTAGCATTTTAGAGGTAGACAGTACTCATTTTCTTCGCCGCATGATCTGAGAGAGAACAGAGTCCAAAACCTCCTTCAGTGGACTCACTCTCGCAGTTTCACTGATCCTTCTTCGCAGGGTCTCTATTTTCGCTTCTTCGAAATCCCTGAATATTTCCTCCATGCCTATATCCTGGAATAGGTCTTTGATTCGGCGCTCCTCGCCCGAGCCCTCCTTGCCGTACGAAAGGCTCAAGAGAGCCTTCTGTTCCGGGTCCCCGTGCTCCATCGCCTGGATAATCATCCATGAGCATTTGTTGTCCTGGATGTCGGTTCCGGTTTTCCCGGTCACAGCCGGATCCCCGTAGACGTCAAGGTAGTCATCTTGAATTTGGAAATATTTCCCAACTTCGAACAGGATATCTTGGGTGATGGTCAGGTTTTCACCAGTAGCCTGTCCCACATATCGCAACGCAAGAGCCACGGGCAGAAAGAAACTGTAAAAGGCAGTCTTATTTTCCGCAATGAAGTAGTACGCTTCAGGGGTCATTCTGGCGAGGTTGTCAGCGCTGCTCACATTCATATCGCACAACTGCCCGAGTTCCGTCCGGAAAGCAGCCTCCCTGAAAAGCTCAAGGATCTCGCCGTAGTCAGGGTGGTTGCGCAAATTCTTCCGCAAGATGATATATATCGATGATCGAATCAGTGCCGCATCGTTGATTGCCATCAAGCCGACTCCTTCTTGTCGATACCAGCAAGGCTGCCCCCTGCGATACTGAGAGCTATCCATAATATCGTCCCAGATCAGGTACACCGCCTGAAACATTTCTGTCAGCCAGCCCAGGATGCTGAGCTGCTGGAACTCCTCGTCGCTGAGGGGCCTCTGGACCAGGCAACGGGCGGTATGGACGACCATGAGGCCTCGATTGAGCTTCCCGCCCTGAACATTCGTATGTAGGCACTAAGAAAGAACAGAGCATCAGCATATCATATGCACAAGACGTCAGTCCAAAGCTTACGTGAAGAATTCGATCGATATGCTCCTTGGGCGTTTTCCTGGACGTGAGGTCCTCTTCGAGATCTGTGATTACTTGTGGCAACATGGCTTGGAACCCCTCCGAAACTGCCATGTTTGTGGTTTTAGCAACAATGTCCTGGCACAACGATTTCCAGGTGGACACCAATTTTAGCTGAGGTGACAGAAGTTTTAATTTTATAAAGTTACTTTCAAAAAGTCACGGACAGGAAGACTAAGATTCTGTGCTCTCAACAGTACACGTCAATGATCCAAGACGAAGAGCTCACATCTGACGTCATATTACAGGCCTTGTTTGATGCACTTTTCAAAATACGCTCACTGCCTGCTGACCGGTTGTCCTGGATATCCCTTGTGTGGGTTCTCGGATAAAAAGTCTGGTTCAATTGATACAGGGATCTAGATGACGAATATGATCAGACCCGCATTATGCATAGCCGATCCATCCCTAGCATCAACAGTGTTATGCCAACAGATAGAATCGGTAACAGCTATGACATTTTGCTCATGCAAGTCAGGGGATCAGTTGGAAGCAAAACTTAATGCGCATAGCAGTGGACAACTTTTTTTCTTCACTGTACGATACAAATGCAGCCACCTTGCTGCATATCGCATCTCATATATTCTGCCCGGCTCTGCATCACAGGCGAATAAGATGAAGACTTGTCCATAAAGGGAACAGAAATGGTACTGTAGTACAAGTTTTCAGATTGTTTTTCATGGTTAACAGAGAACCATAAATAGTGAATGAAATTTGCTGACGTCTTATCCTGTAGAGAACTGGCTGCTGTCTTGTGGGATGAAGTGTGAGTGATTCACCCGGTTCGTGGTGCATTTCTTATGCGCGGTAGAAAATACGACGATCAAACTCGGTAAGGAGCCGCCCAGATTCAGTATCTCGAGAACCAGTATGAAATTGTTTTTGCAGCCAAAAGTCAACGCAATCAGTCCATCCTTGTTGCCGACATACCGTAACCCCTTACTGCCTGTCTTGCGCGCGAACCGGACATCCCAAATTGTACCGAACCGGGAGTCTGCACATTTTGACTGATTACGAATTAAGCGTGACAATACGATTAAGCTCGAGTTGAGTAAAGAACAGAATGAACGCTTGTGTCTATATAGGCTTTTTCAAGCCCACGACTTTATCGGAACTCTACCGAAACTCTACCGAAACTCTCCCCATGCGTCCCCCCTCCCCTCCCGGAGCCCGCCCTGGTTTTAATCAGAATTAAAAAGGAGGTAGTGAGATGACAATCATGCAAGAACGCCGTACAATCTCATATGCCGTTTCATTTTTATACAAGCTGCCTACATACCACTATGAGTTAGAGGCTAGGCCTATGCTTGGGCCGAGACATGCATTATCTTTGCCGCATTGGCGGTGCATATGACAGTGAGATTCGATCTTGCTTGGTTGATTCGAATGTACGATTGTATTCCTCTGCATTTGTGACATCTTTGCAAGTCCCGTTACAGCTGCCCCCCTAACATGCCTATATTTTGCCCATTTCAATTGGTAACTACGAACGCTCGAGGCACCGGTGTATGCAGAAAGACGCAAAGCAAGCATTGATTGAAGATTCAAGAATCATCATCATAAGGAGGCAAATAATTCTCGTCGGCAAACAGTTCCACCAAGTGATACCTCGGTTGTGCGGTGCAAAGCGCAATCCAGCCATTCACAAAATCCTGTACAGGCTCCAAGAGCATATGGTTATTCGAGAACATTTTGTAGACCGAGTGAAGAACCTGTAATAGAACTCTTAATGGGTGACCTCTTCACACAATGCAATATATAGATCACTTACCTGTGGCGTGTAGTTCGATAGATGTTTCAGAATCTGCAGATGGGACACTTCATGTGCTTCTGCCAAATTTGCCACGAAGTTCCCCTTTTCTTCATTAATAATGAACTCCTTGTAGTAAGATAGTATATCATTTGTAAAATCCGTAAACAGCACTAGTTCCTTCAGGGCAGGAAAGTACTGCATTAGATAGATCTCTTCAGGAAAGATTGCCTGCGGCCATAGTAAGGCTGTCAAGATTTCAGCAGCCCCTACCTTAGTGCGTAGAAACATAGGCATTAAGCGGGTAGTAGGGGAGAATCGAAAATTCGACTGCTCCATTTCATTCTCAATAATACGTCCATTGACGTAATCGAAAAGAGATTTGACGATTGTTGAATGGCAATAAGGGCCGTAAAAGCGGGATAGATACCGGAGGTGCCGGTCAAAATGATGGAGAAGGGGGTGCTGATGGCCTTTATTCAGAACAAAACTAAAACAACATATTAGTATCAAAAAGTAGTTCAACCAAAGATACTCACTTCTGGCAGAAAAAGCGCAATTCCTCCATGAAGACCGGGGCAATATCATCCACGAGAAACATAAATACAAACTGAATTGCACACAGCACTTTGTTTTCAAATGGAAGTGATGCATAGGAATGGTTTGTCAGGGTCACGGAAAGCAAGATTACTTTGTGCACCGCGCGTTCAATCTCTTCGCCCAAGTTCAAATTCCTGAAATACACCCACACGACGAATTCAAGCGGGGGGCTTTTAGGAGGTGAACGGCTGCGATCAAACTCGACGTTCTCGAGAAAGCCCTTGATCAATTCCTTGACCGCCTCGATATGGTGGGTTTCTGCCATAGAAAGGCCATCAAAACCAAAAACGCTCTCTTCCTGGATGCCGGACATGGTGAAACCGCTTCCAACCTGGAGTTGCAATAATTGGCATTGAATGTGAGAGATAATTTCCAGGTAAAGCTTTTGAGCTTCTTTTATAGCCAAGTCCCGCCACCATGGATACGGCTCACGGACAACGTCACTCTCCCCTTGCTCGTGACTTGCGTGTACAGCACTTACTCTTTGAAGGTCTGATATTTCCAAATTTGGCCTTTCGCTTATAATTGCAAAAACACAAAGCTACAGGTGGGTATGTTCCCTGAGCCAACCGCATTTTTTTAAGTTGTCGGGCTCTATCGGGGAGCATGCTGAGTGTGCAGGAAGCAGGGTTGAGGTTGCTGGTACAGAATCTAACTTCGAATTGATCTTTCTTAATTGTTACAACCCGTCACTTTCATGTTTCTGGGAGGTATATTGTTAGTGGAAGCAGGCTTCTGGTCTGTAATGTAAGAACAGCATCCCTTAAACTTCTTCAATACTTCAAATTCAATCCAGGTTGATATGGAGAAGCGTGCATGGGCACCTAATGCATGATGTCAATGAGAGCATGTTCCATCCACCACACTATTAGAGTTCATCCCTCCATTCCCCCCTTCAACCCGAGGTTTCCTTGCTTATACTCCATACGTCAGAAGACACTTCATGCTTCCAGTGGATAGCCTGAATGATGTTCTTGTTTTTCCTGTTTTCATGGCTCAGGAGGAAGTATTTATATACCGGAGAAACCGTGCGAGCCCAACACATCTTGCAAGACTTTCTGGCATCCTCAGAGTCAAGAAGTTCCTTTGACTTTGATTACTCCTTCCACACACAATGGCTTTCACAACTGTTAGGTTTGAAGAGACCCCAGCAGAAAGTTCTGAACTCGTTGAAGTTCCCATTTCCTACCACCTGTGAGGCTGAACTGCATGCTGGGATCCAATTGGGCTTCTAACAATCACTTGCAGAAAGCACCCATCAACCCCGCATCTCAAAACTCTCGATGAATATCTTCGTCTTTACAGAAAATCTATTGAGTTTCCAGATGCTTTTTGGTCAGCGATGGCAACGGCGTCTCTCAAATGGGAGACCTTGTTTGAACGAGTCCAGCATGGGAGTCTTGAAACGGGTGACCATGCCTGGTTTATAGGAGCTAAGCTAAACGCCTGCTACAATTGTGTCGACCGTCACGCGCTCGCAAACCCGGACAAGGTGGCAATGCTCTACGAGCGTGATACACCCGGAAACGCACCCGACAAAGTCACATACGGAGAACTACTTCGGGATGTCTCCCGGCTTTCATGGGTGTTGAAAGATATGGACGTGAGGAAGGGCGACATTGTAACCATCTACATGCCGAATGTCCCCGAGGCAGTCGTTGCTATGCTAGCCTGTGCTCGTATTGGGGCCGTCCATTCCGTTGTCTTCGCTGGCTTCTCTGCTCCATCACTCCGGGGCCGACTGGAAGATGCCCGCTCGAGAGTTGTCTTGACTGTGGATGAACATGTCAGGGGAGGGAAAACAATTCCCATGAAAAGCACTGTCGAGCAAGCACTGAGTGGGTGCGACAACAGTTCCGTGCGGTGTCTGGTCCTGAGAAAGACTGGGAACCCCATCCCCTGGTCCGAGAGGAGCTCAGACTTCTGGTGGCACGAGGAATGTTTCAAGTGGCCCGGTTATTATGAACCAGTGCCTGTGGGTGCCGAGCATCCCTTGTATATGCTCTATACATCGGGCTCGACGGGAAAGCCAAAAGGCCTCATGCACTCCACAGGCGGGTATCTGCTGGGGAGCGCGGTGTCAGGAAATTATGTCCTAGACCTACATCCTTCAGACACCATGTTTTGCGCAGGAGATGTGGGATGGATTACAGGACATAACTATGTCGTCTACACTCCTCTTGTTTTGGGGGTCACCACTGTCATCTTTGAGGGGACCCCGTCCTTCCCGGATTATGATCGATTTTGGCAGATTCTTGACCGAACCAAGGCGACGCACTTTTATACGGCACCTACTGCCCTGAGAATGGTGAAGAAGGCGAGACCCAATGGCAACGCCATGAAAATGGACCGATTGAGAGTCATCGCGTCGATTGGGGAGCCCCTCGCCCCCAACGTATGGCAGTGGTGCTACGAGGTCCTGGGACAAAAGGAGGTGCATGTCCTTGATGTAGGTCGACACAAGTTCACTCTTTGTCCGTAATGTGAAATCACGCTCATCTTGAGAGAACAGACCTACTTTCAGACCGAGACGGGCTGCCACGCCTTCTCGCCTATGGCGGGCATTACACCAGCCAAGCCAGGCAGCGTTGCTCTGCCTTTCTTCGGCTTCAATCCAGCTCTAATCGATCCTGACTCCGGGCAGGAGATTGAGGCAGACGCTACGACTGGGGTGTTGACTTTTAAACAACCTTGGCCGAGCATCGCTCGCACCGTGTGGAGAGACCATGCACGGTATATGAAGACTTATTTCGAGGTTTACCGGGGATATTTTGTAAGCATGGTTTCACATTTCAACGATTGGTATATACAAGCTAATTCAAAGGTAAGATGACCGGCGACAGCGCCGTCCGAGACCCTGATGGTTACTACAGAATCCTGGGCAGAGTCGATGATGTCGTCAATGTTTCGGGCCATAGATTGTCGACAGGTGAAATCGAAGCGGCACTATTAGACCACGGTAACGTGATCAGGCTCGTGATGTCTGCAGGCCTGACTAATGTTTCCAGGTGCCTTTGCTGAAGTGGCCGTGGTTGGCAGTCCGGAGGAAAGGACCGGTGAGACTCTGAATGTGTTTGCATGCAGGAAAGATCAGGTCGATTCCGACCGATCGCAGCTCTGTACATCTGCTATCGAGCATGTCGGAAGCACCATTGGTCGGTTTGCCATTCCCAAGCAAGTCTTCTTCGTCAGCGATCTTCCCAAAACACGATCGGGAAAGATCATGAGGCGGCTTTTGAGGAAGGTGCTCGAGGGTGAACGGAACGAGCTGGGGGATACATCGACCGTAAGTCGTGTTGTCACCGAACGAGCTCTACTGACTGTTTTGACATCCAGCTGCTGCGGCCAAGCATAATGACGGATATCATTAGTGAACTTGAGAATCAGGGCAAGACACCGCAAGCCCCCAGTGCTGGCAATATCCCACCCCCCAATCAGCCCAGCGTCAGCGTCCCATACCCATTTGAAGGCTACAACCTGACTGCTCTTGACCACATCCTTCCACCGTGCCACATGTTCATGTTCCTCACTCTCGAAAACGCCTCCCGGGAAGGGATCGATGTCCTGAAAGGGGGAGTCCAGCGTCTGGGCCAGCATTTCCCATTTTTGACAGGGGTGGTCGTCCCATCCAGCCAGGCAGCGGGTAAAGAAGGGGTATTTGAAGTCCAACCCGTGAGTTCATCCTTCCTGGAACTATACCCAATGCTCCAGATCGATTATGGTCCAGAATTGGACGACATCTCGCCAGACGACTTCATTCAGCAGCAATATCTCCCGATTCCGTTTCTGATGGCTCCCACGGACCCAATGCCGTTGATTCGCTTCAAGGCCAACGTGACAAAAAACAGGATCATCCTTTGTGTGGTCTATTACCACAAGGCCTTGGACAGCACGAGTGTGTCAATCACTCTCAGGGCACTTGCGGAACTTTGCAAACATTCTGAATTATCTCCCAACCTCCTGCCCAGCAGTGTGAGAGCGGAGGAATCATCTCGACACCATCTTGCAAATCCGGCAGCTGGGGAGCCCCTGCCGCTCAATTGGACATTGGCTCCTCTTTCACTCGACCCTAAGCTACCTGAAGACCCCGGTAAAGTTCCAACGAGTCGGCGATTCAGTCTCAGTTACGAAAAGGTCACCCTGCTGAAAGATGCCTGTAATGCAGTTCTGGCAGCTCTCCCTCTGATTGACGGTAATACCAGGCCGCTGCTTCTGACATCGAATGATATCCTCACAGCCCTGGTCGGGCTCTGTGGGAACAAGGCGCGTTTGGATACCGTGCCTGAACACGTTCCCTCGCCCAAGGTGATCATCGCCGCGAACGTGCGCAAACAGTGCCGCCTCCCTGAAACATACATGGGCAATGCCCTGGTAGCGGTGGAATCCCCCTACGATACCAATTCATTTCCCAAGGCGGCGGTGCCTCCGGACCTCCCGGGGACGTTGAACAAGCAGCTGGCGTGCCTTTACAACATAGCCCTGTCGCTCCGGAGACAGGTCAATACTCTTACTGAAAGCTACATGCAAGGCATTTTGCGCACCATCTCGGCATCCCACGATCTGTCCACATGTTTCCCCGATTACGGAAATAGTATCATCGTGTCGAATCTGCGGTGGATGGACTTTTACCTTGACTTTGGACCGCTTGGCAAGGTCCAACGATACGATATCCCGGAAAACAAGGTGCCGGGGGTGTGTTGGATTCTACCAGCTCGTGCCAGCTCCGATCCATTTGAGATGAGAGTCGTGCTGGAGAAGGTGGCTGTAGAACGGCTGCAGGAAGACAGTTTGTTCCAGTGGATGTTAACAGCGTAGGGGCACTGCAGATGTCATCGTATGCTCTGGGGGGTATGCTATCGGTTCCACTGATGATCTGATTATGTCCGACGTATGTATGGTCTTTATCTTGTTTTTTTTTTTTTTTTTTTTTTTCACTCCTAGTACAAGATTTTCCAGAAGACCAAGCCACATGTACCGATTCAGAACCAATCAGACCTCTTCAATAATATCTGTGTATCCCTGTTCAATCCTCTCACACTAGCCCTAGTAGCACCAGCCTGATCCGGTAGATGTAATAGTAAATATATAGACAATAAACTTAGGGCCTCACAAAATTGGTAGTTCCTTATAACGCAAAGCATGGACTTGGACTTGAAATACAGTTGTATCTGAGATTATATTGTGTTATAAGCTAGAAATAATGTCAAAAATTCAAAATAAAATATACAGGTCCTCTAGATGTACATATAGTATGCGGGATTCATTTTAGAAGAATAACTATAATATGGCTTGAGATATTGGCGTCCTAAAAGGTGCCGTTTTATATGCTGTCAACCAAAATGACCACTATCTCGAAGGTTCGAAGGCTGTCATTATTCAGCCATCGTCGAGACGATTCTTACCTTCTATGGAAAGCTACACATGTCCAGATTGAGAGATATAAGCAGCCTAGATGTACAGATAGTTTAGGAGATCAGACCCCAGCAGAACGCAGGGGTCGGGGAAGGAACACCCAAGCGGAGTCTCTTCAGATTCCAGTGGTTGAATTTCCCTCTCTAGAAGGTGGCAAACGGATCACAAACCAGATGATCGCAGGCCTCATCGGCAGCTTGAAGGAAGTCATTACCCAGCAAACCAGCACCATCCAGTCCGCCCGAGCAGAAATCCGAGAGATCAAATCAGAGCAACAAGCTCTCAAGGAACAGAACACTCAACTGCAGGACGAAGTCCAGGCACTCCGCGAGCAGATAAAAACCCAGGCAGTCAACCCACACCCAAGGCTATGGTCTGAAGTCACCGCAGGAAACACCCCACCGCACACTAAAATCATAACCCCACAACCCCGGAGAGGGACCAACTGCGTTCTAATCACTACCGTACGACCAGAAGGTAGTGATGACAGTGATAACAACGACAGAAGAAGCTTCACCCGATTCCTACCCATAGTCACTGCCAATCAACACATCAGAACTGCCCTATCAAAGACAGACCTCGCCAAGGACGCCCAGGTAGCTGGCGTCGGTACAACAAAGACTGGATATGTAATCCGATTTCAAGATGCTCAGTCAGCTGAGACAGCGCGGAGCAATACCGCTTGGCTGGAGGAGCTCGGAAGTGATACCAAGCTGGTGAAACCCCGATTCGGTATCGTGGTGCATCGAGTACCGACAGAGGACTTTAACCTGGACAGAGAAAAGACGCAAGGAATCCGGAAGATCCTAGAGGAGAATGACACCTCTTAACCCGCGCTCTTCCTAATAATGTCAACAAACCTACGTCTACTACAGCCGAATATCTAGAAATCCAGGGCAGGAATGGAAGCCCTTATTAATGACCACCAGAGTCAGAACCTGGATCTCCTTTTGATCCAAGAACCATCAATCACCACATACTGCACCCATATGAATCACAGCGCATGGAGACTGTACCGACCAACATACCCAACCACTGATGAAGCCACCCGATTCCGCAGCCTTCTCTACGTGAATAAAAGAATTTCAACCTCCTCACACCGCCAAATCTGCTGCAACCACCCCGACCTAGTGGCAATCAAATTATGGACTGCGGAGATACAATACCTCATCTTCTCGGTTTATATACCATCATTAGATGCACGCCAAACAGCGGATGTCACCCCCGTCGAATCAGTGCTAGATGAGATCCAAAATTGCATTGAAAAACACTCCCAAACAACAGACAGGACTACAAGGCTCATCCTAGCAGGAGACTTTAACCGTCATCACCCAGCATGGAGTCACCGCCCTGTGAGCCATGCCTTTACCGCCCAGGCGGGAGAACTAGTCAATTTCTTCCAGATATACCGCCTACAGTGGTGCCCGGCCCGAGGTGAACCAACATACTGGTCACAGAACCGCCCGGGAAAGACATCAACCCTTGACTTGGCACTTACCAATGACACTACATAACTTATCAGGTGCCAGCTCTACCACGACAATTATAGATCAGACCACCGGGGAACCTACTCTGAATGGGACCTCCAGCCAGAACATAACAAAGCCCCAAAACCCAAGCGAGCGTAGGATCGAGCTCTCCACTCTACAACAGATCTCAACCAGGAAGTCAACCGACTGGTCGAAGCAACAATAACAGTCCTAGACCAACACGTACCAGCACAGAAACCATCACCGTACTCGAAACGATGGTTTACCACTGAACTCAAAGCCCAACAGGTTGTGGCGAATCGGGCACGCAGGAGATGGCAAGACAGCTGTGCTGCCCTAGGCCCTAACCGCCCTATTACCACTGCTCTTTTCAATAATATGCGCCAGAAACGACGGGAGTGGACCCGGACCATCGAGAAGGTCAAAGCTACCCACTGGAAGGAGTTTCTAGGCAAGGCCCAGGAAGGCCACCTATGGAAAACAGCAACATACATGCGCCCGCGAGACCCTTATACGAATATTCCTCCCCTCCAGGTGGGATCAGAGGAGGTTACTGAGAACCAAGATAAAGCCACAGCATTCTTACCTTCTTTCCCAAGATGGCAGATGCCGAGGAAGAAACCATCATACCATGCCAAGAAGAGATTGAATGGGAACCAATCTCCGAGCTAGAGATATACCGATCACTCAAGGCGGCCAAAGGAACAACAGCCCCGGGAGAGGATGGTATCCCGACCTTGGTATGGAAACACCTGTGGACCTACCTCCGGGGTACTATCACCCACCTCTTCACGAAATCGATAGAACTGGGGTGCTACCCAGACCGGTGGAAACGAGCTCGGATTGTGGTGCTCAAGAAACCGGGCAAATCGGACTACTCATTACCAGGAGTGTACCGGCCAATTTCGCTGCTCAATACCTTGGGAAAGATACTGGAGGCGGTTATAGCAAGAAGACTCTCTTTCTGGGCCGAGACATACAAGCTACTCCCAGACACACAGTTCGGAGGTAGACCAGGGCGTAACACAGAACAGCCACTTCTGGTGATAGCAAATGCAGTTAATCGGGCGTGGCTGCGATCAAAAGTGGTCACACTGATTGCATTTGACCTGAAAGGGGCTTTCAATGGAGTTAACAAAGTAAGCCTTGACACCCGCCTACAGATCAAAGGCATCCCAACGATGGCTAGGGATGGATCTACAGCTTTATGGAGAACTGATACGCCAACATCACTTTTGACGACTTTGAAACAGAGGTCTCTCCCCTGGAAAATGCAGGACTCGCCCAAGGATCCCCACTATCCCCTATCTTATTTGGATTCTTCAACTCTGATCTGGTTGATCAACCAATTGACTACCATGGAGGGTCATCCGCCTACATTGACGACTATTTTCGGTGGCGAGCCGGGCCCTCGGCAGAGGACAATATCCACAAGATCCAGGAAGAGGATATACCCCGTATAGAAGCATGGGCCTGCGATACTGGGTCCTGCTTTGCGGCAGAGAAAACAGAGCTTATACACCTAACAAGGTCCAAAAAGCAACATGGTGTTGGACAAATCATTATGAATGGAAAGACCATCAAACTCACCAACACCGCAAAGCTTCTGGGGGTTATTGATACGAATCCATGGGATTACGTGATCTAGCGGCTTGGCTCGCACACTCGAACCCCTGAGGAACTTACCCCTTTATCTATCCAGAGAAGAAGAGATCAATCGCAATGCAAGAGAATTAAGAGCCCTATCATGCAAAAGGCATTCGCTCCTTAGTAGGCTACGTGCGTATAGCTGATACAGTGTCATTCTGCCCTTCTTCCCCTGTACATTTCACAACAGTTATCTTTGACAGGGAAATGCGATGGAAGGAGCACGTGCAGAAGGCAGTGAAATGAGCAACCCAGATTAATATTGCACTAGGTGGATTAAGGCACCTCCGCCCAGAGCAGATGAGGCAGCTGTACCAACCCTGTGTGTCACCAATAATCGACTACGCCTCTACCGTGTGGCACAACGTGCGCAAATATTAGCGGCCCGCCTCAGTACGTTACCAAGTGACCACCCAGCCCGCAAAGCGGTGGAAAGAGCAAAAATACGCAGTAGGCATGTAGGACTTGGTCACCGATTCCCTCTGGCAGAAACGCTCCGGACAATGGATCTTAAGCGACTACAAGCCCTGGAAATAATTGATCCAAAGCCTTAACCACCATGGCAAAGACCAACCTGCATGGAGATCGACATTCAGCCAGACCGCAAGAAAGCGCAGGAAGAGTCCTTAATCATACAAGCAGCAGCTGGCATTACAGTCTACTCGGATGCGTCAGGTCAACAAGACAACCTGAGTGCAGCAGCAGTGACCCTGGATTAAAATAAGAATGTCATACGATCCCGACAGATCTGTATCGGATCAATGGAGTTCTGGTCCGTATATGCTGCTCAATACGATAACTGTTCATGGCAACACATCCTTCCTCCAAATCAGCCTTTCAAAGAAATATCTACCCAAAAAAGACGCCCTGGGATCCGAGGGATATAAGGCGTCGGTCCACATCATCCAAAGTATTATCAAACCAATCTGTCACAATCCTGTTGATCCTATACCCAAGCATCGCTGCAAGGGAGTGATACTTTGCGTATACAAAATGGTGTTGTCGGAATAAGTGTGCGTAACCGTGGGCCCTCTTGGAGTCGAGACTGTGCGCATCTTGAGCCATAATAATAGGATCAAGGTCGCTGAGTGGATCGAAGTCAATGGGCCCGTAGGCATGGCGAACTCTGGAAATACCTTCCTCATAGACAGCAAGATCCACTAAAATGGCTCCTTCTGAGTGAGCAATTCGATTGACTGGGATACTTGGTTCGCTAGGGATTTGAAGAGGGATGGCTATTTCAACAACATCACCTAACCCCCCTGTCCTCAATATCGAACATTGGGTTTGGCTGATGGTTGATACACCAAATGCGAACGGTCTTTAATATCAGCATCTGCAATTTTCTATTCTTATTTTCCGAAGAGGAGTAGAAAGGCACGATGAATAGGTGGTGCAAGACATGCTTTATTTATGGGATGTTGTGAAGGCTCAGCTCTACACTGATGACTCTGGCTGGGTCCCAATGGAACGATGGGAGAAAATACACGACATGAATCATCGGATACGGTATCGAAGAAGTGGTTAACCTTGCTCACTGAGCACATGTTCCTCCCTTGTCCAGTGGTTCGGTGGTGCTAGAACACCGGTTCATCGAGAAACACATGATCCGTAAGATCTCTTGTACTAAAGGCTCGGACCAACCCGCCAGTCGCATGGCATATGGTTTGGAATTTAACGTTGCTTGCCAGGGGCTGACCAATAAAGCAGCAAACCTTCTGGGCCAATTATGACATGTCAGCTGTACAGCGGCAGCAGCTTAGACTGGGTGGGTTTCAGGCTGTTCAGGCCGTTCAGGCGATTCAGGTGAGCTTCGGGTGAAGGCGGGTGAAGGCGGGTGAAGGGCCTGAAGGTGGAGTGGGCCGGGCGCTAAACCCAACGAATCGCAAAAAAAGTGTGAGCACGGACATACAACAGCCGGGATTCGCAGGTGGTCACCCACCCAACTACTAACCGGCCGGCGTGTGGGTTAAGTACGGCTGAGCGGACGGGAAGCCCTGTTTTCCACACCCTATGATAGTATGTGCTAAGCTATTCTAGAGAATGAAATTATATCGAATCTATGGATATTGTTGAGCAATTGCTCATCTTACAGGCCTATTTGCAGATGAAGGACTAGGAATTATATACATGGATATTCAGGCAGTCCATGATCCATCCTCTATCTCCGCCTACCTAGGTCTCAATAACTATATGGCTTCACGGATTTTGTAGTTTATCTATATTAAAATTTTTGACAGTCACTGAATCGCAGCTCCACACGATCACAGCAAGCTGTCCCGACTACTTTCTTTGCGAGTACCTAGTGATAAGGAGTTCCAAGCCTTCTGTCTCCACCGTACTCCAAGTCCATAAAACTCTTATCAATCTCCAGGTGGAATCCACTCAGGAACAATGTTGCAATTACAACAAGACTCCCATGCCGTGAAACGTCCATCAATAATAAATCAACATGCTTTATTAACTCTGCGTATCCTTGAGATACGTACTCCAGTAAACTTGAATCGAACTCTGACTTCTTCCCAAAAATCGCTCCGAGAATAACTTCGTCACATCCGACCAAGGAAGTTTTTGTTCTCTTCTTAGTTCCAATAAAAGGTTCTTTTCCTCAGGCGACCACGGCATACCTTTCCTGAACAATACCGGCTCCTGCTGTTCTCATCCAGTACTTTTGTGGCGCCACGAGGCTGGTTCTGAACTGAATCCTGGACCTCGCTGGTTGGAGGTGCGATACGTTCGCAATCAGATATAGAGCGTGATAGGGTACCTTCAAACAGCCAGGATATGTATTGTAGACGATCCTCAAGCGGTATGGATAGGAAGGAAGACCGTAAAGTGGTAAAGGAATGTTCATATTCCTGTAACGTTGTGACAGTTCGATGCCGTTTGGAAGACCGTTCCGATTGCATCGTCCCCTTGGTTGGCCGCTTGCAGCGTTTCGAAGGTTTCCCAGCGTGAAAGCGGGGATTTTGGTCTTAAACGTCAGAATAAACAATATCGTTATTATATCTGTGATTGATAAGATGTAGTGGTCGATGACCTTCTTTACCGCGATTGTGTTCATTCATGGATGGCGCGCGGTCCTGCAGGTTAGGACACCCCGCGGTCGAATACTGGAGATGATTGGTGACGCCTTGAAAAGTAGGTAGTGGCTCAGGGTAGGTGCAAGCAAATTCTTGGATGCTCTGATCGCTGGCTTGCTCGGCTGCGTGATGTGGCTTATTGATATTCTAGAGCTCTCCATCGGCGAGAATCTCTGGATCAATAGGAACGGTGTCGGTTGCGTCTGGAAGTTGAAAGTATTGATCTAGGCTATCTTCCAGGCTAGATATACTTGGGTGTGACGGTCTACAAAGGAGCCTAGTAAAGGACTAGTTTGTTTATGACTCGTAGTCAAGGAATTTTCCCATAGGGAGGAAAGTCTATCTAGGAGGGAGGATCCAGGGGCTCTATATACTGTCTGAGGTTTCGCCTCAGGTAGGAATGCCTACCGGAGGGTCCTCCATATCAGGCAGTTCGTATCGGAAGTTCGTACTGGGAAGTTCGTATCGGGAAGTCCTTGGCTCAGGAGGTAACACTGAGTAGGACCTGAGCGCTCACTGAGCCTTGACCGGTGATAAGAAATACTCAGTGAGCGACCCCCTGAGCGTCCTCATTAAAGCGGCCTCATCCAAAGAGGGAAAGTCACGTTGATGATAGAATCAAGTCTGTATAGGAACATATAGAAGACAATCAATTCGAAAACAAAAGTTTTACTAAACGGGAAATAAACCTTCGTAGAAAAATGCTCGTATGGAGGTACATACTTACCATTCCTGTCTGGCAATACACAAATTGCTCAGCATGCTTTCACATTGCATCTCGTTATTCGTAAAATAATCTTTCCTTTTGGGGCGCTCTAGAAAAAGATGAATGAATGTTCATTTAAAAGGGTTGATATGAACCCCGTACCATAGGGGAGGATCCCATAGGAACATCCGCCCAGGAAAGGGCGGTTATTTCAAGGAGTATATTCACCTCCTCACAGCTGGATTGTTTGGCAATTTGCACTACAGCCTAGGGAATGGAATGAGTTTTCCTGTTTTCGGAAGATTCCTTGAAGTGAACAAAGAGCTAGAAAAAGAATATGGAGTTTGCCAGCATACTCAAGAAGACATACGAGGCCTTTTTAATCGGAAATCACCGCTCAGATACCACCGCTCAGATACCGAAAAGGGACAAAGAGAAGCCATAAATATAGGCCTTGAATGACAGGCGCTCATCTGCGTCTCTGCAGACTAGCACCAACCTTATTCCAACCTTCTCATTCCAAGATAAGCACTTATCGCGATGCACCAATGGCTCACCAGCAACCTAGATATGGAGTGAATCGTCGCCAGCCAAGGGCACGTTCTATCGACGACGATGAAGACTACGAGGTTGTGGACGTTCCATATACTCGTTCTTTGCCCACTTGTAGTAGCAAAAGGAGCGTCTTCCCCAAGCCCACTGCAGAAGCTAAGGTGATGACCTTTCGTGACGAGGAGGCTGTGTCTAGATTTTACCAACATCACAGCAGGTCCCAGTCCTCAGCAAACCCTCCTTACAAGCCTAGTCTTGTTTATGCGGAGGAAGAAATCAGAGCTCCAGATGTCAGCACCAAGGACGGCAATGATCATATCAGCGAAAACGAAGCGGCATCCGTGTCCCACTTTACTGGGCAAATTGACTCGTTCCAGTCCCAGCTCCCAAGAACTCCCCGTTCTTTAAAGAGTAACAGCTCCTTGAGAACCTCTTCTAACGTCGACCAAGAATCCCACATCACTCACCGGCCCTCGAGTCATCCTTCGATCAGCCTATACGACAACGAAGAGGACGTCCTAGATCCTACTGAAAATTTCGAGGCAAATCAGGCTTCAGAGACCTATTCTGAAGAGGAGATGAACGCGATCGCAGATGCCTTGGCCAACTCCCCCAGGATGCTTAGGTTTCTAGAAAATAACGAAATGTCGGACCTCGAGGAGCACAGCCAGGTCAAAGACGCCTTTCCCAACCCCGCCGATGAGACTGAGGATCTTGGGCATCCAGAAAGCGACCCAGTATCGGAATTCGAGAAGGATCTCAAGGATATTGGCGCCAAGTTAGGTGAATTTCTCCGCGAGAATGATATTGTTGAAACCCCGGCCATTCAGCATTCACTGGGCTCTGAGGAACAGTTAGATGAAGCCGAAAAGGGTGGAATGAATTTGCCTGAAAGTCTAAGGGATACCAAAGACCCAACTAATCCTCAGACGATCATTCACACAGAAACCCTTTACGCATCGTCGCATCATGACGAGGAATCCAGTATTCCTGGATCTGCAGAGGTTGATGATCCGATGATCTTCGAGGGGTGTCCAGATGAATACAGAAACTCTCCGTCTGAGCTCTTTGAACAGGCTTTTGGCTTCCAACCGAAACTCAGTCAGTTGAATCTTCTCACAGAGAACTTTCACGAATCGTCGCGGCATCACGAGGTCTCCAGTATTCCTGGGTCGCCTGAAATTGCCTATCGGATGGTCTTCGAGGATGCTCTAGAGGAGTCCGAAAATTCTTCTTTTGAACCCTCTGAAGACGTTATTATCTCCCAACCGCCACTTCCCAGTCCCACGGAGAGCCTTGGTGAGTGGTCGCAGCAACCCCAGGACCCTGAACAGACGAGCAGCCACGAACAGGCCAGCGAGCCAAGCGATGGTTCAGGGCATCTCCCATTCCAACCGACCGGTGATAGAGATTGGGATCAAAGAGTGATGGCGATATATCAGATTCTGACAACCATCGATGCGTCTCAACTCCAGACCTTCACAGTCCTAGCCACTATAATTCTGCGTCAACTAGGGGAAATGAGCGATGCTGAGCTCCAGAATGTCGTACGTGCGGTTTTCGATGTCAATACTTTGTCCGATGCAGGCCTGTTCAATTCTCAGTCCATGGATGCCGAAGGTTTCCATGATGAAACCATCGAAACCGAATCTGCTGGGATTGAATCCTCCAATTCAATTGCCCCGGCTTCGGACGTCATAAGTTATCATGATCAAGCTACCCAAACCAAGCCAGTTGGGGAAACATTGAAGTTGAAGTCACTGTATGAAAGGATCCAAATGATCGACAACGATTCGGTCCTTCTGATCATGGTTTTCTTGTTTGTAGTTATACTTTTGAACGGACTGACATTCCTCTGGGTCTCTATGGCTAAAGCTAACTCGACCTCATCTTGAGTTTGATCTTATTTTGGCGGTCTGTCTTTTCTATTACATGACAATCTCTTGTTTTTTAATATTGCACAAAGATGAAAAAATAAAAAACAAAGCCCATGGTGAATTGAATATGCGTTGAATTGAATAATAATGCATGATGTGCTTCGTGAAACAAGAAATGTCTATTCCTCATAGTTGGCATTACAAGTCGATAGTCCTGAAATTTAGAAAACCAGATGACTATCACCAAAAGTGTACCCTGTGATGAGAAAGTGTAATACAGAATTAGCTATCCGAGTAGGGTTGTTGAACGTTGTTTTTCTTTCTTCATTTGTCCCCGGAAATTTCCATTATGTGCACTACAGGGGTTGCCCGCTTTGAACGCTTTGTGACCATCAATAGCATATGGCGATAGCAATCGTAGATCAATTCTACACGGACTTTAACGTTAACTCAGTAGGAGAGTTTCCTTTCCTTTCTGGCGGCCGTCTCTTCAAACAAGATGTGATGGTCAAATTTCCACGATAATGATGGTCTATAAAGACCCTTACGATCACCACTGGTTCTTTATATACCCCCATCCACAATTTCTAGCCATTGCTCAAAAGTCATTCCCATTTATCAGACCAATATCCTTTGTTCCTTTACCGTGAAACCCCCAGATTCCCAAAAAAGAAAAATTGCGCCACTATGTCCGATAGTTGGACTAGTGCAGTGGAAAGTTTAATTGAAGCCTTGAGGAACGAGCGTATTGCTGCTGCCGATGAAGATGAAGTCACTTTCCTTGAGCATAACGCACGACATAGCATTTCGATGCAGAATCTTCCACCTGGGTATACCGAGTATGAGGGGTTCCAGCCCGCCAACCTTTCCCCCGTCGATTATGATAATGGTAGGGGTGAATGGCGTGAGCTAGATATACTGCCCCATTACACCACTGAAGATCTCCAGCGTATCATGCAGGAGGTCTACAATGAGTACATGGATGGTATCATGCATGGTTCTAATGAGAACGAGGATGATGATGAGGATGGATTTGAGCCAGTCGAATTGATCTATGGAAACGCGGCCGTGAATGAATATCTGGATTCTTTGCCAGACCCGGCTACTTTTGGAGAGGATAGTGATCCCCCTCAGGCCCCGAATGGGATCTCTGGCAGTGAGACCGTGGAAACCAAATCTGAACAACTCCCTGGGCTCCTTTCGTCTAGGCTCATTCCACTGGATACTCACTCTGAGGCCTCGGGCGCTGGTCATGTTGACGATGTCAACGAAATCAACGAAATCGACGGTGCATCGGATCCAGCAAACGGGCCAAACGGACAACCTTCTAGTCAGACGCCATCTAGAAATAGTCCTTTGGATGAGCCTGGACATAATGAGTCAGACTTGATTCCAGAGCTGGTGGTGACCGATTATGATCACGACCACCCTATGGCCCTTCGTCATCCTTACCAGTTTGGTTCGGCCAATGGTCGCCACATTCCTGTTGATCTCGACTCTTCTACCGATGAACTGTCCGAGGTTGACTCGCTCCCGCACTTGGAGCGCATGCTCATCGTCCGCAATCGACCCTCTGGCACTCATTCCGACCGGAATGGCGTTGAGACTTCCTCCGATGCACTGGTTGGTGAGATTGAGTCACCCGTGGGCCTGGCTATAACGGATGGCTATGACCCTGTGCCCTCGGAGCCTCGCGAAAGAGACACTTCCCGGGTGGAGGATCCAGTCTCTCGTTCTGCCGAGACCCTGGTCAACGACACAGGTCCCGTCGCCGTGACTGAACCCATCGGACACTTGAACTTGGCAGAAGCCGCCGAGTATGTAGGATATTCCGGTTCCCCTCATCCTGAGATCTGGGCCTTGACTGATCAGGGGACGGTGCGTGCCTCACGGCAAAGTCGACCTCGCTGGTCTAGGAATATTGAAGTAGTACCTGCCTTTGAGATATTCACTGATTATGGGAATCCGGACGAAGAATCCGATGTCACCAATGATTGGGAGGAGCTCCAACAGGGACGGTTTGGTGATCAGGGAGATGACGACGATATTCCCTGGGATGCGCGCCCGGTCTCATATTTTGAGTCTGGCAGTGGCCCCGACAATGAAACCCCTCGTGCACCATTGAGACCTGTTCCCAACGCTTTTGAGGATCTGGTAACGGTCCCCGACGATGGGGAAACCATCGATTATTCATCAATGCCAGACGTGAACCCCAGTGAAAACCAGGCGCAGGCAGCTGGTATGATGACTTCATGGCGCCTTCCGGCAGACCCAGTGGTGACCCAAGCTGGATGGTAGAATTCTGATCATGAATTCGTTGATATGGCTACTTTGTGCTATCCACAGGTCATGACTCTTTGACCAATTCTTCCTATAAATAGCACTGCCACTTTGATGGTTCAAGAACGGTCTTTCTTGAGCTATTTTCTTTTTCCGTTTCTTGGGCTATTTCTAGCTCAGATGCCAGAAACATCTTCGTCTCCCCAAGAATGGCTTCTTTCAACTGCCCTTATCAGAGTCGAAAAACAAGATTCAGATAAACTTTCACTCATTTCTAATAATAATATTTTTTCCCTCCTGAAATAATACAAGATCTCTATTTTCTATACTACATCATAGCAAAAACACCCAGAATATTTGTCATGGTACTATACGAAGTAAAAATTTGCAGTAACTCCCTTCCTCGTTAAAGAGTAGTCGCCAACCCATTCCGAACAGCCCATGCCCTAACATGCCCGATGACCCTGATTCCTAGACTTCCGTCGCCCTTATACAGGTGTTTGTAAGCGAGAAACATCTAGTATAGACAATAACAGCGTATTAAGACAATATAAATATTGACTATGTCTAACCTCATCCATTATGCTCTAGGAACGCCACCATGATGTGTTAAAGATGAACCAGCTCACATTAGTTTGATTCCATGGACTTTTAAATCCACCCATTATGTATTCACATGCAATATAGAAGCTTTCACAAGCCAGAAACCAAGAACAAGAAGATATAATATACATAGATGTATGATTTACCCCCTTATTGGTACTCCGCGAAGGCACTGTTGGTCTTCGTGAATGAACCAAACAGCAGAACACTTTTGATAGCTATCATTTTTCGTTTGGATATCACTGTACGCTCAGTAGCTTCCATGGTTCTCTTTAATCAAATCTCGATAGTCATATTGAACACACTTTTTCGTCCAATAATATTCTACTATTCACAATATTTGATCAGACTTGGCTTCTTTCCGCTACCGCGTCTATTTATTTAGGAAGTTTCATGTCTAGAATTACATACTATCTTTGTCTTTTCTAGAAAATTCAGATTCTGGCGTTCTGCAGGGGTATATCCGAATGAAGGTTCTTTGAAAGAAGGTCCTATGGTGTTTACCTCCGCTGCTAGTAAATACTTTATGATTCATCCAGGAAAGGTCCTTCATTATATCCGAGACATTTCACTAATTCAACCCATCTCTATAGCTTCGCATCCTCGAAAGTTACTATAAAAATCGGCATGATGCACGATCTTGTCGTTTGTTCTCCATCACTTTCAACTCACTCAGTCATCCAACAGATTGATTATCGGCTCCTTACGGACTTCGAAAACTCAACGTTTCAATTGCATCAAAGAATTGAATGAACTTTTTCAACTCTTCAATCCACTTACAAACAAGTGTCTTTGACTCGGAAAAGCTTGCAGGCAAGTCTTTGTCGTTCAGAATCCCGCAGAACTTACCTAAAATAACCTTCACGCTTTCGAACTCCAATATCAAAATGCCTCGCACTTCCAGCGGAATGTGCAACTCGGATTGCCGTGGCTGCCCCAACTGCCTTTCCATGCCTAGTTCCGGCGGAAGCTACTCCTATTACCATCACAGCGAGACTGTGATCGTGAGCAGTGGTGGTGGTCCGATATTGCCTATGCCTCGCACTATCCAAGGATCGGGTAATGTTGATGATGTTTCAGATGGAATGAGCGATCTCTCCATGGCGAGCTCCGCCAGAACGAAGTCCCAGCCCAAGTCCCGTCGCAAGAGCGGTGTTGCCCGTTGGCTTGAGAACATTGGTGAGGACGATGTCGTCAACTCCAGAACTCCTGAACGTTATCTCCTTGAAGCTCCCAGAGGCTCTGATAGCCGATCCATGGTGTCCTCCTCTTCTCGCCGTTCCAATCGCTCGCGTCGCTCTAGCCGCGACGACGACGACGATGCGCGCACTGTAGTCACCCTGGCAAGCCTTGCCCCCTCCGATAGCGTCAGCGGCATCTCTTCCCGGTGCTCTGATGTATCTCGTCGCAGCTCTCATGCTGGCTCTCGAGTTAGCTCCCGTATGCGCGACGATGATGAAAGCACAGTCCGCGGCCCTCGTGCCAAGGTCAGCATTGTTTCCTCCCGCTCTCGTCACCTCGACGACCATAGTCGGGTTTCCTCCCGTCACGGCGCTGGCAGCACTGTCAGCTCTCGCTACGGCGGTGGCAGCGAGGTCACTAGCCGGGTTGGCTCTCGCCTCGGTGCCAGCGAAGTCGGTAGCCGGGTGAGCTCTCGCGTTCCCAACGAGGCTCCCAGTCGCCGTTTCAGCAAGGATGAGCGCACCCTTGTTCACCCTCGGTAAATGATCAGAGAACGATTGGCTCTTCTCATAAGGAACCTTCACCAGATGTGGTCAATTTGCCGATGACTGGGCTGAGTGGCTGTGTGATTGATCACCTTCATCCTTCTGTATCTCAAATTTTAAGCACGATGAGTACTCACAACCGATGCTAAAGGATTAAGAAATTGCCACTTTTCTTTTGTTATCTTTATTTTGTCGGAGTTGGATTTGCTGATTATGAAAGACCAGAAAAACAAATAAAAACAAATAAAACATTCCACCTAAAAATTATTTTTCAAAAGCGTAGATGCAATAGATCAGTGGCTTTCATTAATTAGCAAACTCATAGAGGCTTTTAACAGCTTATCAAAGCACCTAGATCTCATATAGATTCATCATTCAAGAAAAGGTCTCGTGTTTCAAAGGAACTTTCTCAAACCTGTGGATACATTTTGCACTCATAACGTCCACTCCAGTGACCCCTTTGGGGCCTGAGCAACATAGAAACTTGGAGCCATATTACTGTCGAATCAATTGTCGCCAAAGATTGCTTCGTTCACACATCACGAAGCAGAGGCGCAGGCATCAGCCGCCACATTTCTTGTTCACCAATCAACCGGCGAAATCAACAGCGCTCACATGGCATCTTCCGAGCTGGTAAATAAAGGACATCGTGTGACAATAAATGCCCTGCAAAGCTGTACTCTGTCTGCCCACTTTCCAATGATGATCATATTCCTAGTTTCGCTTGTTTTACCCCCTGCCCGGCACCAGCATGAACGAGTTGAACGACGTTCATTTCAATCCAGGTGTTTGTGTGGTGATGGAATTCAACCATTACACTGTATGATCTTGTGCGGCCCTGAGATATAAGATCGTTTGCTGATCCGACGGTTTTGGACAGTCTCACCGGGCTGAATACACCAGAAAAGAGTTAGCAGAAGATCAAATTGGTAATTGGATTCAACAAACCGTATGGGCAACTGTACCGTCTCCCAATTTATTTAGATTACAGATCATAGGGAACCTCTTCCAGTTCCCCAGAGCTCGCAGGTCAAATACGATGGATGTTAGTACTCGGTTCGCCTAGCAGGCCGTCACACTCATGCTCAAAAATCGTATAGCTTTGCCTGCACAGTCCCAACAGATCATGATGCCCATGGGGACTTTCTATCAGCATCCGAGAAACTAGAACTTGCCATAAGCAGAGAAACCTTTTTCATACTTACTCAACGCTTCTTTTCGTTCAATAGTCTGTTGGAGGCTTGGAAACATCGAGCCTCGGCGGGCTGTGTAATTCGACATATTGACTATGATGAGACGACCAGTAGCGCAATTTCCATCAGTGAGTCCCTCTCCTACCTTCAGTGATACGATCATTAAGATTCATTAAGCGAGAATATGTAGATTTCATCATCTCCATCCAGTTATCCAGTAGCTTCACATCTCTGATTGTGGTGCACCATGACTTTGCGAGCAGAAGCTCTACAGTCCTAGCACTCAGGGTCAATCCACACGACCAGAGTCTCTTCCAACAATTCCACGAACATCAGCAGCGCTTGATCGGTCACCCACTCTTCGTTATGACTCTTCTTTTTGCAATCAACCTTGACACCAATCTTCTCTACATGCACAAGATCCGTCGTTAGTTGAGTGCGATTGAGAAAGCGACGGGACAGCATGGGTGGCTCGAGATTCCAGCGATCGGTGCACTGGCTCACGATAGCGAACTCTCTCGGTTGGGCCACGCAGCTGAGATTCATATATCGATATTTCGTCGTCGATTGGATTTCCTAGAGCACTATCTTGAGTTGAGTCAGCAGACAGTCAACGAGTTGGAAGGTCTAATTCCAAGCTCCCTTTGCACGCCAGTAGGCCTAAGAAATGAATACGAACAGTGGCTTCGAAATCTCGCAACGCAATTCAGACTGCGCCAAGTCGATTTGACTTATTATCAGCGACGAATTGATAATCAAATAACCGCCGTAAGTTATTTCGAGTCCCCCGCATGTTTAAGATCTTCCTAAAATCTCATAGATATACGGATTGCTGTCCCAACGCGACAACATGCTCGGTGTCTCCGTTGCCATCGAATCTAAAAGGATTCCTGAGGCGTCGAAACGCGACGGTTCTTCTTTTAAATCGCTCAGCGTGCTTGCGACACTGTTCTTCCCGGCTAGCTATATTGCTGTGAGTATTTCACACATAGTCCGCTTGGAGCCGGGCAGATCTCATCCTTCAATAGACTCTTTTCACCCTTCCCCACTTCACCAAAACACCGCCGTGGGTGTACTGGATCGTCAGTCCCTTTGACCCTCCTTATATTCATCTCCTGGTCTAGCTGGACCTTCTACCGCCAACGGAGGATTGCGCAGGAGACAACTGATCAGGGGGTCAATCCTGACGTGGAGCTCGATCCGGAAGTTGCGTTCGCGTCGTCATCGAATGCTGCGTCTTCGACAATTCTGGTCTCCACGCTTTCGACAGATCAGGTCGCATACGAGGGCGTTGCATCATTCTAGAGACGAGGTCAAAGAGGGGGATGTTGGAGGTAGGGTTGGGATTTCTCGTCAATCAGCGCGAAGTTTGAGTTGATGGCAGGAGTTGGGGAAAGGTCGCTCGATAACTATAAATTAGCATGAGATACCCAGCCAAGGAGAAGATCACAACGATACCATCACTCTTCGCATACTCTCTTTCTTCCACATTCCTTTCATGTTAGCAAGAGACAAACCCGCTCGGTAAGGTCAAGAAAGATCTACTCGGACTTCATGAAGTTCAGGAAATTAATTCAGGTCATTGGATTAATGGTCATTTAATCGAAATAGCAACTGTGTAAACGAAATCCTCCCAACAAAGTCACCGTAGGCGAGGACTATTGCTTAGAAATTACAGCATGAGAAGCTATTGAAATGCCAACCAGAAGATGAAAAGAGAAAGAAAAACAAATTCCTTCCTAAGCAAGGCTCATTCAAAAGAACACCAATTCCATCAGTTTGTACTAGGTGAGTGTCGATCTTAACATCACCGGCCAGGTGCCAAAACCAGCCCCAGACTCAACGTTGCTAAAATCATTCCCAAAACCCCAGAAAGTAAACCATTCGAGAGAAAAAGAACTCTCGTCCAGCCCATGAAAGGACTACTTCATCGCTGTTAGCACCGTCATCTGCCTCGTCATCAGTATCATCATCGAAAGTAATCTTTTCATCGAGCGGCTTGTACGAGTCCAGGAAGTGTGGGACTCTCTGCTTGCTCTTAATCAAGATCTTCTAAGCACATCCACCGTCGCCCCCCCACCATGACCATCTCATCCTCAGTAGCCTCGGCCTTTATTCCACCTTTCTTCGGAGTCGCTTTTTTGGGGGTGGCCTTCTTCGGGGTAGCTTTCTTGCGAGGGGTACCAGCGCTGGAGTCATCTGCCTTGCGCTTGCTTGCCATGGTAAAAGTGATCTTGTTGGTTCCTTTTCCGTTCTTGCGGTACTTGTGCAGCTGCTCGCTCAGAGCCTTCGGGGTTGACTTCTCATCGCCGGCTGGAAAGTTGCGACATGTTAGTTAGCATGACGATGAAAGGTAGAAGAGGTGGAAGGTAGAAGAGATGGAATGTGGAGGAAGATGAAGACTTACGCCAGGCCTCAGCGATCTCGTCAAGATTGAGGCGGATGTCCTGGGTCTCAAAGATGGTTCTGAGCAACTGTAGGTGGTGTCAGTAAAGGTTCTCATATAATGGGGTGAGGGGATCGTCCTTACGATCTGCTCGTTGTCTTGAGTCCAGCGCCTTCTCGAGTTTCAGGAGAACATTAGGAATGTTTGCAGAGCTCAGTTGATGTGAGAGAATGGATAGAGAATAATAGATAGCAAGATTGCCTCTTAGACGGAGTAAGACTAGCTGCGTGGATGGGTACTGCTATCCGATGGGAAAGGGGACGGAGGGGAGGTGGGAGAGGATAAAATAGGTGGGGGTTGGAAGAGGGATGCAGGTAGGTGGTGCTGTTTTTTATTCACTGGGTTTCCGTGGGATTCTTGGTCACCTTACGTCCTGCTCTGGTTGATTAGTCGCTCTGGTATCCTCTGGTTTCTGTTCTTCACCGGCAGTCTTGTGGTGCAAATGTTGGTAAAGGTGACATACCGTTCTTCTTGGTCAGGAGAATCTTCCCAACTCGGAGAACTGAAAATTTTCCTTGTAAGACCTCTGGACAATTTTCTCTTCCTAGGTATTTGTATGCAGTATTCTGACATGAAGTGATGATGGCACATCTAACTTGTTGATGCCTCAGGCATCTATATTATCTTATCTTATCTTATCGGGGTGTCAGGTGACTGTGGAGGATCGACCGGCATTGGGGGAGGCAGCGCTGCCCATTGGCCAATTCCCTCCTGTCAACCACTTCATCCTCTACTTGGGATACTTTTCTATCATGATTCCGGTCCTTTAGGCTTCGTCATGGCCTCGGACATCAGGCGGAAGCCAATTCCTGCTCCAATCCCTTACGATGATTTCGGCGTTACCCGTGGTGTGACGTCCGTCCCCACTCCACCCCCTGAATATCACCTCCATGCGCCAACAGCTTCAGCGAGACCTCTCCCTCGATATCCAAGCCAGCCTCAGTTGCGCACTCCTTCTCCTTCGAGGAATCTGCCTCCGTCGTTGATCCCCGCCGGATCGAACCATTCCCTGCCGCGATATTCCAGCAACTCCGACCTTCGTCCCCCAACTGCACACAATCTTCAACCCCCGTTAACGCCTGCCTACAGCCCACAACTGCCACCGAGATATCCCAGCATCCCCGACCTTCGAGCCCCAAACCTCTCCGAAAGTTCCTATCGTCCATCGACTTCAAGTGGCCCCTCTAATATACATCCTCAATATCCAACCCAACCTGTCCTCCGCTCCTCCAAGTCCTCAAACAACCTCCGTCCGCCATTAACCTCCACCGTCTCCGCGCAAACGCTACCACGATACCCCAACCTTCTCGATCCTCTCACACCTAATTCCTCCGATTCATCCATCCATCGTGCTGCCACCGATGTCCTCCCATCAAGCACACCACCCCGTCCGGCCACATCCGCGACATCCGAGCCTTCCGCCGTCCAAAAGGCCTACGGCGAAGCGCGCCATTTCCTCGGCGGCCTCATCGCCCACCCCACCGAATCAAACAAACACTACACCATCCTCCGTCACTCCCACGGCATCGTCTTCTACCGCGGCAGCACCACCTCTGTCACGCTCTCCATATTCTCCGACGCCCCCCTCCCCCCGGACCGAACCCTCTGGCTCCAAAGCAAAGGCTGGACCGGCAAGACCGGCATGCGCACCAAGGCCCTCCTCCGTCTCAACGACGACTGGATCAACGTGACCCCTTCCCTCGCCCTCCACGCCGACCAGGTACCCCCGTCCGATGAACGCGCCTGGCAGCGCGACATCGACAAGTTCCGTCGCAAGAACACATCCCATAAACTGCGTTCCCATGTCCTCCGCGAGACCGTCGTCGCCCGTATCCCCGCCGACGCGGGCGACGGATACTTCCAGCTTGTGCTCTGCGGACCCAAGAAGAAGGTCCTCTGCGGGAGTCCCATCTTCCGTGTCCTTTCGACCTCGCTCAGCCCAAGCTCCGTCCGCGGTGCCAGTCTAAGCACCCTACCTCTCGAAATGGGCGCCATGGTCCTCGGTCTCTACGCCCAGGCCACGGCCAACAGAGTCATCGGGCCCGCTGCCGCAGTCGTCCAGTCGAAAGTCGACACCTACTCCCCCAGCCCGATCAAAAAATACGCCGCCGAAAAGGCTATCACCGTCAGCGGCGTCGGGAACCAAGTCGCGGGCATGATCAAGGGGGCACCCGAAACCGCGAACCAGGCACAACTGCAGGGACAGGGACAGTTCCAGCCCGCCGAGTCGTTAGATCTAGGTCCCCAGGCCCCGTTTCCCATGGACTTCAAAGCCCGAGGCTTTCCGTCATCGTCTCCAGAAACAACCGACGACCTCCGATACTCCCTCTCCAAAGTCCCTGATTCCATCACCGATCACCTCCATGGTATCTTCTTCGGCTGGGCCCGATTCCTCGATTCCAAGACCTCCCAACAATGGTTCCAAGCCATCATCTCAATCCAATCCCTCGACCCAACCCTCCAAACCCGCGTCAACATGTCCCAGACCCTCCGCAAAACCGTATCCCTTCGTCTCTTCGACGCCGAATACGAATACCCATCGTCGCCGCCACTACAACCATACCTTTCCCACGCCCAAACCGTACCCCAAACGCCAACACAAGCACCAATCCAGCGACCAACACCACAACCGAAATTCCAAATCCGCATCCTCGGCTTCCTCCGACCGAACCTTCCTCCTCCCACCGCCAGCACCGAAAAAGATCTCCTCTTAGCACGCGAACAAGCCACCGAAACGGCCCTCCTGGCTGAAGCATGCGACGCGACCTACGCACAAAGCGCGCTGGATCATCCCGCTTGGGGACCGGATGCCATACCTAACCTTGGCCCTGATCCTGGAGTTGGACCTAGAGCTGGAGGTGGCCCTGGTGCTGGACCTGAAGGGTATAATAATGGGAAATTGGTAGAGAGGGCTCGAGAGGGGGTTCAGGGCGCTGTGGCGAAGGGTCAGAGGATGGTTGAGAATGTGCCGTTGCATTGGATCGGCGTGAGGTCGACGGCGGCGGAGATTAGGGATCGGGGAGTTGGTGCTAGTGGGTTCTTTATCGTGAGGTAGATTTCCTCTTCCTCTCTCTAATCATCTGTTTGTATACTAGGAGGGAGACGTGTATATTTTGTATCATGTATTGTGGAAATGCATATAAACTAAGTGGTTTTATATACTAACCAAATGAAAATAAAAAACCCCCAAAAGAACAATAAACCAAAATCACAAACTTGAACAGAAATCATCCATCAATTTGCCACGCCATCCGACTCACGTATTCATTCCCACTCCTTTTCCACTCCATCAACATTCCCTCCACTTTCCCATCTGCTCGGATCTCGCTCCGTTTCACCTTAGACAGCAACTTCGCCACGATCCTCACTGTCAGACAAGTTTGCATCTCCGTACTGTTGGCATCCAACCCATCGCCAAGCTTCAACGCAAGAGGTAGAGCCAAGTTCCCTGCGACAGACCCCATCATCTCGTCGATATGGTGAGACTCGAACAGAGTCACAGAATCAGTACATTGCTGAATAAGTTTGACCACTTTTTCCGCGAACGAGCTCGACGGGTCCGGATGGAGAGGATTGAAATGCGCCGCGGGGAGAAGCTTTGTCTCCAAGTGTAGAGTAGACGGAAGCTTGGCACTGAGAGCATTGTCTGTCTTATCTTCCCTCGCGCGCTCAACGTCCAAATAGATTTCATACATCAGATCGTTGAAGAACTGGTATCGTTTGTATTGAGCGTGTGGATTGGTGGACGTGTCATCACGCACTCTCCGTAGACTTGTCAGGCCGTTTATGACGGTGCTATGAGATACGATGCGTCCATTGGAGGACGCGTCGAAGGTCACTGGGTTTCGGGTCACGATTCCCATGCGGTACTGATATTCCGAACAGATGGCCTTGTCGGTGATACCTGTTGTTTCTGGCAGGGCAGGCTTCAAGCCTCGCATGAGGAGCGAGTTCAGATGGTGGAATTGGTTGGCCCTGCGATGGAAGCCGAGGACCTCGTTCCAGTGCTGAATTGCAGACGCATACGCTACGGAGCTCGCTTTTGCGGACTTCACGATGTGCTCGTTTATTGTTTCAAAGATAGGGCTCGTGATGTATGCCAGGACAGAGGAGCTATGAGTGCGAAGGAAAGATGCAGGAAGATGGTCGTGCCAGATGTTGAGCATAAAGTCGATTGTGTCAGGAACAAAAGGGCCGAAATCGATATTGGAACTTTCTAATACCTCAAAGTGATGCAGGAAACTTTTCATCCAACGATTGTGCTGTGCAATGGATTCATCAATCATCGGTAGTAGCACTTCCTGGACGTAGCGGCTGCGGTGGCTTTCGGGCATCTTGTGGAATGCAGTGAGTGTGAAAAGCTCAAGGTTTCGCTGAGAGCAGAGGCCAGTGATATCAGGGAGTTTTCCTTCTCCTTCTTCCCTGGTCCCTTTCGGGCTATGTTCCTCTCCGCTGGGCCTGACAGTCGAAAGACTGAGCTTTTGGAGAAACAAATAGGAGTCATCGGCCTTTTCAGAATCTCGCTCGAGAAGGGACAGCATCGATGAGATCACTTCGGTTTGCACGTCAACTTGGGACGAGGCACCATAGATTGATTGCAAGATAGACAGGCTTCTGCCAGTGGGGATGAAATCGGCAGCTGCGACAAGTTGGGCCACCATCTTGACGGTCGTGATTTTCACAAATGCAGACGGACTGCTTAGCCGTTCGCAGACAAAGTCTGATAACGACTGTACCAGACGTACTGCCTCATCCGGATGAAGAGCCTTTCCTAGGCTAATCAACTTCAAGTGCCGGTGGTAGGCTGAATCATCGGGGAAGTGTTCGATAATACGCAGGATAACATCAATGCCCTTCTCTGGCTTATCAGTAGAAGGAAACAGCTTGGTGAGCTCCACGACGCACTTCAAGAGCACCGGATATCCTGAATCTGATGCTGGTTTCAGGTTGTCTAGCAAGGACATTACCAAGCGGTATAGTACTTCAGTTGGCACAAACGCGATCCCCTCACTGAGCGCTTGGATTGCGCTAACCGCCGCATATGAAACATTCTTGTTTGCGAGCGAGAGAAACCGGCTACCGAGAGCAATTGGGGGCCATCGCGCAGCCTCTGAGCTTGGGAAAGTCTCGGGGAGAAGTGGCTGTTTAGCCTGTTTAGGTAGTGTTCCGAGAAAAAGCAATGCTGAAAGAACAACAGCGTCGCAGCCCCCTATGCCCAGAGTTTGAGAAACGTGGTTGATATAATCAGATGACCACATTCGCTCAGGACCAGAGCCTTCAATAATTTGCTCTATGATGACACTGGTGGGTGGAATTCGTCTGTGCATTCGACAGTACAGAACCGTCAGAGGTACGGTTATCTCAGTCTTCTGTCCGGCAAGACCGAAGGGATCCCATTTCATCACGTCTTTTCCTAAAGGTTGGTCTAGATAGGGTGTTTCTGGCATTGGAATGGAGTCAATCATCCTGCTAACCTTCTCCCAGCCCCATTCTTGAGCAACTTCGGCAAGCCAATGTCGGAATATGGATAAATGTTCTGGGTGTGGTGCGAGAACAGTCGCATAATGCTTCCAAACACGCATAAGTCGCTGATTCTGGTATTTGCGACTGCAATGGCCGACATATGAGGTTATGACACTCTCAAGTTCATCCACCTCCATATCATCTACATCTTCGGGGTCTATAACAGGGCGCATCAGCACTTTAACTGCACCAAAAAGGACATCGTTGATCTTGGTCGCAGCATATGGGATAGAATCTGGTCTTTCCACCGCAAATGGCACCAAATATGACGGTATGAGATGCTGCACAGTCAGGCCCACTGGAAACCCATCTTCTTGCTTATCGTCAGGCACTACATCGTCATCATCATCGAACAAGCCTTCCTCATCAAACATTTCTTCCCCTGCCTTGGATTTCCAGAGCTCATCACGACGTTGGATCAATCGATCCATGAACGAAAGAAAAGTTGGGGTGTTAAAGTGTTGAATGTGCAGTCCCGACAGCATCGGACCCTTTCCGGTCCACCAATTGTGTTCAACTCCTTTTCTGTCATAGTGTAGAAGGACTTCTATCAACGGATCTAACATCATGCCGGCGAGATTCGTCTCACTTGCTGACAGCTGCTTTCGGTGCCGACGCAATGATCTCATTCGATTCGCCACTACGCTTTCGAGAAAAGTCAGTATGCCACCAGCGATTCGTGCACGGTCCAGTGGCTCCTTGGATGCTTTCATTAATAGCTCGAGCATGCGCATCAGAATTTTATCGGCTTCTTTTGTTCGTTGTTGTAGCGCAGCCAGTGTTCTGGTCCCACCTGTAGACCTCGCTTCAACACATCCCAAGAGTTTAGACGACTTAGAGCCGAGTATGTAAGACTGCACCAGTCCAGGGAACACGACCTGTATCTATATTAGCGAGGCAAACTGAGAAGTAGAATGGACAACGTACACTGTCCCGTATAAACCGTGTAGACCATTGCATAACTTCATTGAAAATCCCCAATGATCCGGTGACCAGCGCCGTCTCTGTAGCTTGGTTCGCCCAGTACGATCTCATTACAGGGTCTTTGTCTTTCGCTGCTCGCCTTTCCATCTCGAAAATCCCTGCTCTTATTAGAAACGCAGGTTGAACAAGTCCTGGAATGAACATACCGGCTTTTGTCGTTGGGAAATCATCATCCGTCGTCGCCACGTCAGCCTCACACCGAGCCTTCAGCTGACACTGAACAGGCCATGATAACAGGCTACCTTCTCCATCAAGTGCAGGTAGATACTCGGTACATCCGTGCATTACCAGCATTCTGTCGAAGAGTTGTTTGATGTCTGCCGGCGGCAGGAGATCCATTATGCTGTGGGGCCATATGGGAAATAATTTCTTTTCTTTTATGGACGGAGGAAGGTCCAGGTCTATCTCAAGCTCTGAGGAGTGGCGACAGAATAGCTTGATGAATGGCAATCGCGCTTCCGCTGCGATCCCTCCCAAAACTGTTTGTATCGTCTTGAACAGTAATGAGCCACGACCAATTTGCGATAGCTGCACTGGACACCGACGATGTATCACGTCAATCAACAAAGCCTCCAACCTTTCTTTGTCATCGACCGTCGGCCGTGATGGGTGTTCCCGATGGGGTAGCCCCTTCGTGGGAGATTTTGTCTCAATAGCAGTCCCAAAACTGGCAATCGACCAGTAGCGGATCAACTCCGTGACCAAGAGCTCAGTAAGATCTTTGAAGGTTTCAATGGCTATAATCGGTAGTGCCTGGCTAACCAAATAAAAGATATGTTGGAAGGAAGCCTTTTGACGACAGACATGGCGGAGTGCTCCATGAATGTAAGGGTTGATCCGGGACGGGTTCACACTCTTCATTGTATCCACAAGCATCGTATGGAGCAGGTCTACAGCGAATTCAATACCTGGCAGTGTGTCCAATGTATCGGGCTGGTACTTCACGGGTGTGTATGGCACAGAAGAGCCGACCATGGCTCTGACGCAGTTCTCCGTTACGCTCTTCTGGACATATTTTGGCACTGTGGCACCGCCTGTAGCAATACGTCGCAACAATGTTGGATGGCGCACGGCAATTCTGGCCAGCAGCTTAGACGTCAACCGCGCTTCTGGAATGGATGACAACACATCCTCCAGATACGACGCCGTGCACAAAGGTAAAAGCGTGTCTAAGTGGTGCCATAGCGATCGAGATGATTTGTCTTGCTGTAGGAGGTGGACCAGCTGCTCAACAAGCACGGGCAAATCATCGTCCTGTCGGTGTATGCCTTTTGCAATGGCACCCAGGAGACTTGCTGTCTCAACAATAGACAGACCCCCAACGATATCTTTGATTCCTTCTGCGTTTCCCAAGCTGTCCCACACGCTCGATTTCCAAGTGGAAGTGCGTGAAAAGCGGGCGACCTGCTGGATGCCGATCGCTCGAACGTTATGAGAAATGGGGTCACGGAGAGCCGTAGATAGCAGTTGCGGGAAGTGTTTCATGGCAATAGGAAGCCATATCTTGTAGACATTGGATGGCAAAGCCTCGCTGTGGATGAGATCCAGCAACTGGGTGTTGATGGTGTTTACGTGCTCGACGGACGGTTCTTTGCCGATGAACTCGATGAAGTGGGCAGAGAGGGCGGGGTAGTTCAAGCGTAGGAGTTTCTTCGGTTGGAGGGCCTTGTCAATCGCCATTTTGATGAGTTTTCAATGTGAGTTTCGATGAAGGTTCGGGGTGGTGGAAAGGTGAAGGGAGGGTGGCTTCTGCGGCCTGAAAGAACCGAGAGAGGCACAGTCCCGTGATCGAAGGAATGATCCACGCCCACAGTGGATCTTCTCTCTTTGGCCCCCTCCACCTTGGCCTTGTTCACATCATGGCCATTATGACCTTGAGTTACACTGGGTCAATTGGCCCGGAACCTTGATCCCCCAATTGAGTTCGATCGATCGCCCACCTAGCATTCCTCCGAGGTGGAGCGCTATACTCCTTCAACTGCAAGTGCGAGATAACATTGGCAGTGGAAGAGCGCTTAGAGCCCACACCAAGCCTTCATCCATAATGTCTGGCCTTTACAGCATGGTTAGGGCATAGATGTGCCTTGATAACGTCTGTCATTATACTCTACAGACACGACTGGCTTTTAGTCTCTATCCCAAAGACCACGGGAGAGAGCCCACAACCGAGAATTCACGCCACTTACGCACAGACCAGATCTACTCAGTAAGCCGATTGATGGTTCTTCTAGTGGCATTGATCATATCGAAGTCAGATCATGCCCCATGCGGCTCCTGATCAAATCCCGGAGCACTGAGGGCTTTGCATTCATTTTGAACAAACAACCGGGGACTAACAGGCCAATACATGCCAACACTATAGATGTCAATCCAGGAAACAGGAAGGAGACACAATATCTGTCCTTTCGAGGTTTCATTTGGTGCCACACCGCTTATTCCGTACTTCGCACCTCAGTGAGCTCAATCTTTTTAGGGCACTCTGCAAGACATGAGGTATACAGGCTGACCGAGAAGATTCTTTCAAGCATTGCTTCGATCCCTAACGTCCCTAAATCAAGTCCAGTTATCAATAGGGAGTATCTTGAGGAAATCAGTGCAGAATCTGACGGGAGCAGTCCGCCGGGGAACGCGTGCGACCTAATCTAATTCCGGTTACTTCGACGGCCCGTGCCGGTTTTTGGGCTGTTCCACACTTTGGTAGAGTCAGTATCTACAGTACATGCTGAACTTGGTCTTTCGATGTTCTCGTACGGAGTATAGAATCACTTCACCGGGTTGGACTATTTGACAGTGCTTATTCTGGAGTGTTGTCTGAATAAACAAATCTCTCTGCTCTCCGTTTAGACTCTGTCGATTTATATATTATGTTGCTTTACCAATGGCATTTTGTTCATAGGTTTTTTTCTTTTTTTTTTTTTTTTTTTTTTTTTTTTTTTTTTTTTTTTTTTTTTTTTTTTTTTTGTTGTTTTTTTTTTTTTTTTTTTTTTTTTTTTTTTTTTTTTTTTTTTTTTTTTTTTTTTTTTTTTTTTTTTTTTTTTT